TGTAAAGCTGCAAACAGTGACTACAAAACTTGATTGCATACAGAGGGCTAAACCTCATTTGATCCAGAGTTCACATTAATCTCACCTCACTCCACATCTATGTGAGCCCACTTCTGCTGAGCTGCTAATGGGGGTCCACTGCTGCGGCTATTCACAGCACCTATGACTGCTTGGTGAATTTCCTCAAACTAGGAGTCTTGGAGAAACAACTTAAACACCAACCTAACAATTATTTTTGCTAGAGTTTTCACAAATTTTTCCCTTATGAAGACCGTTTTCTTATCTGTAGTGATCTGCCTGCCTCTCACTGTTACAGCTGTGGAACTGGATACAGATTATAGCCTATAGTACTAAATAGAGACAAAGAATCATTTGTGCCTAAATTCTGAAACCCTAAACATTGTTTTGGTGTCTTTGCTGAGAAAAATACAAAATAAAATAAAGAATGAAAATTAAAAACCCTACACACATACACAAGAGCTAGAGAATGGAAATGGTGATTAAAGTATTTTTCTATGTCAATTTTAAAGCTTGAATGAGAATGGTAAAAAATTCTTCCTGCAATCAACCTGCTATTCTACAGCTCCCTGTGGAGGGACTGGAATAATCCAACTAGTTTCACATCTGTGAGCAAGACCTGCTTGCCTGCATTAGCCTTTCTTCAGAAATAACAGTTATCAGACAAGTCAGAGAAAAGTCATCTAAGGACATAAGTTTTGCTCTGCCTCCTTGGTACATAAATTACTCTTTATGTTTGCTGCTTCTTATTTCAATGGAATGCCATCTACATGAAGTTACTGTCCACTTTTTCAAAGGAGGGAAGTTTTATAACTAATCAGGATTAACTGCTCTTCCCACACATGCACAAAAATGAGTAAGTGGAAAAGGCCAGATCATTCTCATGCAGAACACACTAAAACTGTAATATAAATCAAGGAAGAAAAACAGAAAGCAAAGTAACAAGCTACTTTTTGAACCAAAGAAATAATTTGAAAGACAAGATTTGCAACCACTGACTCTGAAGCTTGTTTCTCTTGCTTTTAATAAACTAGACTCGCCCAGGGTTACCTTACTAAGGGGCACAAACTCGTCTGAAGCCTTCAGAGTTACTATTTTGCTGTTTGATTTGGTATTGGGTTGTTTTGTTTGATTGATTTGGGTTTTATTGCTGATGTTGTTTTTACACATGCATTATTTATGTATCATTAATATACCAAAGATTCATGTGGAAATCCTCTAAGACTACAACTACAAAAAGTCAATTTCTTCATGATCAAAAGTGTGAACAAATGGTGTTCCAAATGCCTCAGCTGAATCTGACTTAATGGAAAAACTCACTCAGTAATTGTCCTTCATAACAGAGTTTGAGGTTATCAATTAATTTCACAGTGAGACTTCGTAGAGAAAGTTCACTTGAACCAGAAAAGGAAGAATAATTTTCCAGTGAGTTGCATAGAATACTGCATATCCAGACCAGACATCCAGACAGATATCCAGGCATAACAGCAAGTTAGAGACAATCTCAATAGAGCAGAAAATAACTTATTCTAAGTTAATCTTATTTAGGCAACACAGGTTAACTTTAACTATTAATTAATCCCCCCAAGAACCTTCCTCCTTCTACTCCATGAATTGATAATCCGTTATCATTTATGATTTTTCACTTGAACAAGTGAAAACCTTATTACAAACCAGGGTGAAATATTTAATGTCAGATTATTCCAGGGCTGTATGACTGAAAATGTTGATTATTAAGTTAAAGCTTCTCATTCTATTTCTCAGGTTTGCAATATTTTGTCAGTTATTTCTGATGATTTTGTAAGTTTTAAGTCAGCCATTATACAGTTTATCATACTCTTGCCTGGTCACAGACCAATTACTTAGAAAGTGTTTAAAAGTGTATAATATTCTAAAATGATAACATATAATAATTATGATAGATTAAATTAATTGCTTTGTTTGTTTTTTAAACAGTATTACTACTCATCTATTTTTAGATGCTCTGGTGTTCAACTCAAAGCTTTCCTTAAAAAACATTTAATCTTCATGAACACCTGATACTGCTTTTTTGTATATTCATTTTGCAAATTGCAAAGCCTTACATACATGGGTAGCTTTTGTCCTCAAACAGGGGAAAAGCAAAGGCTTCTTCCAGTCCCACAAAGTCTTTTCATTTACATCAGGAGGCACAACTGTAGACTGCTTTTTTGTTTAAAAAAAACAAAGTGAAGCAAAATAGAAACAAAACTACCACACTGAAACACCACACATTGACCACAAAAACTTCCCAAAACTGACTGCAAAATGTCTACCCAGGACAAACACATAACTAATCTTCACATTCAAAGGTGGAGAGTACACCCCTGCACAGAACTAAGATTTCTGTTCATCACTGAATCAGGTCCCAGAAAAAAAGTTATCTATAGGCTATAATCCTGTATTTAAAAAAATACTATATATATTAAAAAAAAAAATCTGTAGGCTATAATCCCCCATCTCTTTTCTTCAAATTCTTTATATAGATTTGACTCATTTTCCCAATATGTTTCCAAATCACTTTCTCTTGTGTTGTTGGAAGGGATTTCAAAATTCAAGGAATTTTGAAACCATTTGTTCAGCTCAGATGTGCAAATCTATTGTATTTCACTGGTTATTTTCAGCAACAGAAATATTCTGTGTTTGTCTTCATATCTCCAGATAAGAGGCTGGGAAGTGCTTGGCAAAGAATATTTTTCAAGATGATGGAAAATGTAGCATGTTCTTTTTCCACCTCCCAACTCTTGAGCAATAATTATAATTTATATACAAATGACAAATTTACATACAAATTACATACAAATACAGTAATTCCATCAGATAATGAAAATCCTAAGTGTATTTCCCATTCACTTCCAAAGGAACAACTTAATTTGGTAAAACATTCTGAGCCATCGAGTTTAACTAATCAGAGGGTCCATCCTGACACATTCCAGATGACTCCAGTAATCTGACACCAGGATACCTGAGGAGGTAAATGTGACATTCTATTTCTGCACAAATTGTTTAGAAAATTCAGTTAAAGACAAAAAATGTACCTATGTCAAAACAGCTGTTAAAAGCAGGATTACATTGGAGTAGTTTTGGAAATTATTTCAGTAGGCAATATGTTACAATTTTTTATATTCATAAAGCTGCAAACTTTTCCCTTCCAGCACTGGGAGCCTGCTCTCCAATAGCCAAGGTTCTGTTGTGAAAGAGGTAAGAATAAATTCAGGTGACCTTGCTGCTGCCATCCATAGCAGGGCAGCTGACATCTAACCTGCAGAATGTGAACTACAGACACCATCCCACACTGACTGCAGGCCCAGCTCTCTATACCCCATGGAATACAGGTGGCATCACACTCTATTCCTGAATGACTGATGGAACAGAAAGCTAAACCAAAATTCACCACAAAAAAACCTCACACTGCCACAAGCCAGGTAGACAGATATATTTTTTTATTTTGTTCTTAAAAGAGAAGTTCATTTTAGGCAACCTACAACAGCAGTCACAACCTTCTCTACATTTTTTCACAGGGAATAACTTCAGAGACCTTTGATCTCTTGTTATCTTGGTCACAGAGAATGAAGGCAGAAAGATTTAATGCAAGGCTTTAACTTTCTGGTTTTAATACTCACTCTGAATAGGTTCTCTTGGAACAGTCCTGTTACTGGGTTCTTAATACAGCCAACCAAAATCAGGAGATTAGGGCAGAAATAATTTTAATTTCACTGCCTCCTGAAAAGATGTACTTCAAGGTCTACTTTAAATTTAAATACTGAAAAGTGAAACTAGTAAGTTTGTCATGTTGTTCTGTGTTTTCAGCTATTGTTTCCAAGGAAACATTAAAACTAACTGTCCAGGTAAATGTCTCATTCAGAGCTACCAAAATGCAACAGGGGAGAGTTAGCAGTGGCAAAAATAAAGCAGCTTGTTTCACAGAATATTCTAGGTAGGAGAGAAGGACAAAGAGAGAGAGAGACAAAGGAAGGAGAACAGGAGGAGAGAGGTGTAAGGACAGATGACTGAACCCAGCAACTGAGAAGGCAAAGGAAGTGACCTAACATGAAAAATATGGCTGGCACAGAGGTGAACCAAAAAGACTGATCTCAAACAACATTTGTATGACCCTTTCCACCTTACAGCAGTTCTACAAATTTGCTGAAGGCAGGCAGGAGAATATTAGCAAACCCTCTGTTTTGAGAGGGAATGCTGAGACATCCAATATTACCTGTTGTACATGCAGGTCCATTGGTTGAATGTTCTCTTTTTCATGTTTACCTCTTCCATTCATCATGTGATTGTCTTAAAACAGTTTCTATAACTAGAAAACTTAATAAAAGCTGAGCCCTAATAGCTGTGTCATATGCTTGAAACAAAGGTCCATTTTCCCCTACAACTGAGCCATTACTCCCTCATCTCAAGCAGCACAAAGAGGTACACCATTCCCTTCAATTTCTCAAAAGAATCAGAGAGTTAGAGGTTTGATCACTACACCAGAAAGATTTTTTTCCCCTTATTATTAGCATTCTGGCTCATACCTATTTACGTTACAGTTCTACCACACTGAGAGCCAGCTGGCTCTGGATTTGCCTAAAGCAGAAAAAATTCTGTAGTAGCTTCCTATTATCTCAGAGTGATTACTCACACAAGTTTTGGCCCTATTGCTTTACTCATCTTTGATAGTATTCTTCTACCTAATTATTTTGCACTCATTTTCCAGTTTTCATGGATGTGGTCTGTTTGTCCTTGAAGTGACAGAGCTGCATCAAAGAGTTAACTCTCACTGCCAGGATTTAAAATAATGGGATATGTAGGAGGGAGCTGAAAAGAAAGGGAGTCTGGAACAGCAATATGACAAATGCTTTAGAACATCTTAGTGTAATTGATACTTAAAAAAATATTAAAAATAGGCAACACAACAACTTATTTGCATTGTTACTTTTTATAGGTATGTTTAAAAATAGAAGTTTGTGCTATGATTTTATGACTTATTTATTGAGTCAGAGAGCCCCTCTAATAAGTACTTTAGAACAAACTAAGAGAACAAAATAAATGAGTATTCACATATGATGGTAATTATGCAGGTTGGCTCCCTGTGCTATTATCTCCTACACAAAGATGAAGCAGAGGTGGTGAAAATTTCTGTTAAGGTTAAGAATGGAAAACATTGACAAAGTGGCAAAATGTTGAAATTTCTGCCTGCTGAGTATCACATCGTGGTGCCAACAGCATCACATCCCCATAATTTCTTGACAGGGCATTGGCAGCACTGGAGCAGCTCGCCCCATTGAAGTAGGGCAATGTGGTGGATCAAATTACTCTGAGGTAAAAGATTTTAAAGGTCTATTTTTAGGGTTTGTTGTTGTTTTTTCTCCCTTGTTCCTTTCTTTCTTGGGGAAGCTGAAAGCAAAGCTCAGCAAGAAGCACACAAACCTACCAACCTGCTGAAAAGGGACACAAAGCCACAGGCTGAGTCAGAACTATGTTTGCAGTGTTACTTTTTCAGCTTGTGGGCCCTGCAGAGTAAAGCAAACAGCAATAATTTTATTGGCATGACAGAGGCACAAGTCATTACAGGGCTAAAGAAAAAAAAGACAGGACTCCAGTGCTTCACCTTACAAGTGGTTCAAATAGTTTCATTTGCTGTCTAAATAGCATAACATTTACATACACTAGTAATAATTCATCATTTACGGTCTCCTGATTGGGGCTAACCTTCCTACCCCTCTCCATGGCACTGGAGCAATGGATTTAAAGGTGAGTTTCAGAATGATAAACACAGAATTGAGATTAATGTTCAATACAGCAAAGACTGGGTATAAATTGGAGAAGACAAAATAGAAATTCCAGGCCAAAAGAAAATCGAACCATCATGTTATAAATAGGTATTACTTGGCTGATGGAGATGCTCTTACTCAACAGGGCTAAAATCCAGAGCTATGATAGGAAGTTTCTTAATTGAGAGGTTGACATGAGTCAAGCTAATACATTACACAATTATACAGAACACCCTTCACAGGAAGGGAAGATGAATATCGCTGCAGAGTCCCTTGGTATGACGTGTCTGGAGCCCAAAGGATTATAAGAAAACTCTTGCTACTGGCAGGCAAAGCAAGCAGCACTTCCTCACACATGCAGGGGTCCTAAGCTTAAGGATGCCTGGAAATAAGAGAGCATAATATTAGTGAGACAAATATTCAAGGGAGTGAGCTCTGGACACTGATAGGTGACAAGGTCATCATTTTACCTAACTGTAAGCCTCAACCCTTCAGCTTCTTCCCTTTTCATCACCTCATCATTTTCTCCTGATATGCACAGGATCTTAAGCAGATAGGGGTAAAGCTATTCCTGGCATGAAACAAAAAGGCAGTATCTTATTTCATCACTCACTTTAATGAGACCAAAATTCCACTTTGTTTAATAAAAATTAATAAAAAAGCTTATAAAATAAGACCCAGTTGAAATTCTGTGATTGAGTTTAATGCTGGAGTAGCCACTGCATAAACTAATCTTCTGCAAAATTGCAAGCTATTTTAGCCATGCTCCAAATTTTATTGGGAGCTTTTATTTTTTGCTTCAGCAGTCTTCATGATATACCCCAAGTTATGATTTTTTTCATATCCAGTTAAATTATTATACATAGAGTATAAGGTGGTTTAATTTTTTTTATTTTACATTTTATTACTGTAAGTGAAAACCAGCTGTGTTGCCCAGATGCATTAGGCAACATAACATTACTTAGGAGGAAGAGAACAAAAAGAACAACTGAAGTTTTTGCCTGACCTCTAGACCAGAAATCTGTCAAGCTGATGAAACTCAGTTTTGAGAGTTAAAGTTTAGGGGAAGAGTGAACTTCCAACGAGGAAGTTTTCAGGGCACTGTGGAGCTGTTACACCAGAAGCCCAAGTCTCCCAGCAGAAAGGTGCTGCTGCAGGAGGAGCAGAGGAAGAACCACACTGGTGGGACACCTACAAGGTTTTCCATAGGCTAATGCACATATGCTGTCACCTTTGATGTTGAGAGGACCAGGAGATTGTGGAAAGCCACAAGCAATCTCCTATTCCCCTCTGCATTGCTTCTCCTCATCTGGAAAGTTTCAGACGTTCTCTGTTTTAGATCTTTACTACCAGCTGCTTGGCATTCTAGCTCCCTGTACCTCACACAGCTGATCAACTTTACAGCTTTTTCTCCAGCTTTATTGCAAATGGTGCTAGTGATGAAAAATGAGTGCTCTTACAGAGTACCAATTTGCAGACAGAGTCAAGAAAGGGGTACTGATATGGATCTGAGCAACTACATCCCAAAAGGAAATGCAATCAATATAATTCCATTTCCTAAACTTATTTAGATTAATTTTGTTCTTAGTAAGAATATTTTAAAAGCACACCTGCTTAATTCTAACAATCCCCGGAAAAAACATATATACATTAAATACATATATTGTGATCGTTAAAGTTCTGTGTCTTCCACCCCAGCAGCACAACTGAGGACACCTTTCTTTAGCCCATCAGTCCTTTTAACACTCCTATCACACACACTTTAGATGCATATGGGTATCCAGGTAAAGAGGAAAGGACATTGGCAGAGAGCTCAGGCTAACTGCAGTGTTAAAAAAAAAATAAAAATACAAAAGTAAGCCAAACCATAAACACTAACTTAAGAAGTCAATTAGAAGTATAAATTATATGTAGTAACAGTAAGGCCAAGCATCCTTTACAATCAGAGCTGTGAGTACTGCTGTTACCTAGGCAACATCTGCTCCTTCTATTTAGGACATAATCCATGTACAGGGACAGGAAAAACAAATGAGAGTTTTCAGAAATTATTAAGGACCCTTTAATTAAGGCCATAATACAAGTGTGACTCCATGTCTATGAGTAAGGTATTGTGTTAAGGGGAAAATGTCATACTTTATAGAAGAAAATATTATTAAAAACCTCAAAAAACTATTTAATATATTAAGAATGACAAAAAAGTTTAAGGCACCTGAAATTCATGCCTGGGCCAAAATAGGCATCATAATTATTTCAATACAGTGAATAATATTTGAATGATTTATGTCTTGCATACCTAAAGCCAGTTGGTGAATGAGTTTTATTCACATCAGCATTTTACATTTCTCTGAAAACAAAGAAAGCTCAAAACAAGAAATAAAATTCCCACATCATGAAAACCTGTTAAGAGCATTGAGGAGCTTGTCAAATTGATGGGGATTATTCAGCTTACAAATCTAATGGAATGTGCACAGAAATATTTCAGAGTTAATGGAAGAGTTAAATCAATCCTCTTGTAACTTGTGTAATGGAGTACTTCAGGCAGAGAAATAATATGATTGAATTTGGTTTCCTTCAACACTAATATTTACTACTGTTAAAATCCTTCAGCCTAAAAAGAAAACCCTCATAGGCAAATTTGTATCCAGGAAGACAAATTACTGCATTAACTGAAATTCACTAATTTGCTCTTGCTGCAAAATGAAAATAGCAGTCATCAGATTGGAGCAAAGAACAAAATGACATTTCTGAGACATTAATCTTTACAAGATGTTAAATTACTTGTAAAAATCTCAAGAAAAACAAAGGAATTAGTCAGACTATCATTTTCTCAAGAAATGAGAGTGACTGAGCTAATCAGATCATGTAACATACTGAGAACATAATTCTTCAGGAAGTTTGGCAAGTTAGTGAGGTTCATTAAAGACTGATGACTTCCTGTGGACAAGCAATGAAAATTAAAATCAGAAAGTTTTTGTCTCCTATTAATTTTGCCTTTTTTACTTGCAACCTAGTCTTAAGCAACACCTTGTGACCCTGAATATTAATTGGACAGAATATAGGCTTTTGGAGCCAGGTGAAAGAAAGATTTAACCACATAAACTTCCAGAAAATCTCCCTAATTATGTGGAAAATGGAAGAAGATAATTCCACTGATATTAAAAAAAATGGATAAAAACTCATCTCATACCTATACTGGTCATGTCAACCTATTTGAATGATCACTGCACTTAAGCTAAATCCCAGATAATCAATTTCATTGTCTGTCTCTCTGTTTAAACCTTAATTATTTAGAAGATCAAAATTAAAGTCCATTAAAAAATTCACCCAATCACCATGAACTGGCATTGTTTTGCCATTACAAAGAGATGACACACCTATCCTTTTTAACTCTTTGAGAAGTTACCTAGTTTGTAACTACCCAAATGCACACTATTGTTTTGAAATTGGCTTGTAATCATTTTCCAGGAGTCCAGTGCTGAACACTGAATGATTTTTCTTGGTTTTTGTTTAGTTTTTAATATTTTTTTGAGTGCTTGGGTAGCCTTTTCTCACCAGGTCTGGTTTTTTCCTTGAGACCTTTCATTAAGAATTTTCCTCTTGTAGTGCTGTCACCCCTAGCCACAGCAGTGAGTTCTGTATGAGAAGAAACTGGTGGCTTTAACAGTGGACTGGAGAGTGGAGGTGGAGAGGAACAATTTTCCCAAGTGACCAAAATCCTGTGTACAAGGAAACCTGAGTCAGGTGGAGAGGGTGTCACAGCTGAAAGCACAACCAGCCCTTCCAAGCACAGCTGTGTCTGAAGACAGATGCTTGGTGCCTTTCCTAACCTTCCCTGCTACTCTGCTTTGTCCCCCAGCCATCAAAAATTGTGTCATGCCAACCTCCATGGTGATTTCCATGGAAAACTCAGTGCTCCAACTTGGAAAATTTGTTAACAGTTCAGAGACACAAATTACGTCTCTATGGACCAAACAGTAGCTCTCGAATTGCAGCTGCATCTAAAATGCTTTGTGCTTACACAGAAAATTCTTTGGCCCTTGGGAATAAAGCAGGAAGCCCTCAGGACCAGCCAGGCATAGTTCACATTACAGTGCAGTGTAACCATTAAATACAACTGTGTAATTGTCACAACAGAGGAGAGATGGTGTCAGTCTCTTCAGTCAGAGATGAAAATGTGCATGAGCAAGGTGGGATATTTATGAATCACATAAAACCCACATTCTAACCTTTGCATTTTAAATTCACACAGAGCAACGATTTACTGGATGTATTTTCTTAGAAGTGTTTAAGAACTTGCACTCTTCAGGGGAAAGAAAGTACTTTAAAAGGCATCTAAACAGCTTTATTAACTAAAAATTAAAGGTGCCAAGTGATTTTTAGTACTGTTCCAGGATGGCAAGTTCATCAGAATGTGAGTAGAAAAACCACATTTCCCTCTCCGAACTCTGGTCTCTTTAAGCAACATCTGACATTTCTACTGCCCACGTCATCCCACCCACAGAAATAAGCCTCTGTACAATAAGCTTCAAAGTCCTGTTGGTTCCCACAGTGCCATCAGCCCACTTTATAGCAATTACCTGTCATTACATCTGATGTCCCACTGATCTCCACTTTAACCACTGAAGACCTACAGGAGGCTCACCTCCACATCTCTGCAGTGAGGAGCTGCAACTGATGCTTAAGCAAAACCAGCTGGGTCTCCTCAGATGCAAAGCAGAGTAGCACAAAACCAGTAAGCTGAGACCCTAAAGCTCCTCACTGCATCTGAGTCTCACAGCACTGCCATGCAACCCCAACTAATCTGACAGCAGTTACACCCAGTGCAAACAGAATTATTTGCAGGCATCCTCTTTGGTACCACCACCTGCAGAGAGTGGAGATAAAGTTGTGCAAATCCTTGTATACATCCACATTTTCAGATGTTTGGTTCTTGCTGAAACCAGTATTGTGAATAAATTTAAGCTTTTGCCAAACCATTACTGCATTTAATGACCGAATTAAAATGGATCTAAGCAAACAACAAAGCCTTTTTGTACTGATGTGTAGAGTGAAACAACTTTCAGGCAAAAGCACCCTTGTGTTGTGTCCCTCCACAGGGAGGCAGGAATTTCAGGGAACATGCTACTGCTTATGGCTGTACTTCCTCCTCTTTGTACCACCTAACACTTCAGACAGGTTTTGCTTTAGCCACCTGCTGAAAGTATCATCCACAGGTGCCACAAATGAAACACAGCTAACAAGGATCAGAAAGATCCAAACAGAAACCTGGTTTTATATTGGCAGGGCCCATACCGACATAAACCAGACCTACAGAAAGCAATCATGGCTTACTCAACACAGCTGACTTACAGATAGAGCTGTCCTTCCTTCCTTCCCCAGCCACAAATCAAAAGCTTTCATTCCACTTCTTCACTGTTTGTTCTTTTGCAAGTAAGGTCTTATAACAATTAATGAGAAATCGGGAAAACTTCCTGTCACATTCCAAGAAAGCCTGTTGTTACTCCCAGCCTGGACTGCTTGCAATGAAAGTCAAAGCAATTACAAAATCAAGCAGGTTAGATGGAACTCTTAACAGAAAATCACACTCAAAGTCAGCTCTGGAGCCTCAAATCCCCCAAATAATTTAAACGCCATGCAGTTGTTTCAAGCCTGCTTCTCTAGGAGAGCATTTGCTTCATGTGTGTACCTACAATTTGTTTTTCTGAGCCAGTCTTTCTACAAGTAAAGAGAAGAAGTGATTTGTCTGCTCAGACTCACAAGATAGTTCAGCAAAACTCAAGGTTTCCACTTACAATTAAGTGAGAAAAAGCAAAACACTTCTGTATAATATTTGGTTACATTCATATATTTTATGCCTTGAAAGCACCATATCATTTACCTACACACTTATTTAAAAATCTGATAGTTAAAATGCAGATAAAAACAACATACTGTACTTGTGAAAGCCCAAAGATTAACAAAAATTTAATGGAATTCTTAGTCAAGCATTCACTTCCCCAGCACCGAACACACAGCCCAGCACAACAGAAAAAGTACAATCTTTTCAACTGCTGCAGAAATAACTGTTCTTTAAAACATTTACTTCAGTTCTTATGTAAGCACAGCACTCTTTGAAGTGAAATAAAGTATTACAAAACACAGGCTAAATCAAGATCAGAGAACCTGAAAAATCTTCAGTATTTTTATCTCTTTCTGCACCACAGAAGATAAAGCCTACATCAGAAGTCTTCTTCAATAACCTCTCAGACAAACAGCAGAAACACTTTGCAGATGAGGAAAAGAATTAACCTCTTTAGATTGGATAAAAGATGGAAAGCAGAACATAAACATCCAGCTAGTACCTACCAGGGAACTGAAGCTACAGGATTTTGCTCCATGTCTTCAGCTGGCAGAGCTCCAAATTTGTGCTCAGTAGTTCAGACCAGCACCTGCTCCTCAAAATCTTCCTTTTCCAGCCTCCACTGTCACATACCTCCTCACCACATATCCCTTCTCTCCAGCCCCAGAACACCTCACTACCCACTGTTTTCAGCTGTCCTTAATACATCTATTACCCCTGCAGAGATCCCTGTGAGCTCTCACACCTTGAATCAATTTACCTCAGTAAATAATTATGCTGAGAGTCAACAAATAGTAGTAGACTCTACCTCTTATATTTCCCACTAGAAATTTGTGAAATGAAAGGGACTTTTTAACTTTATATGATTTTCTGTAGTCAAACATATAATCAGACAGACTCCAATGTCACACCTAAATCTTTAAATATGCTGCACTTTAGGTAGGCACCATGTCCAGGGCTGGTCACGCTGGAGCTAACTTCAGATGCACTTTTCTGGGTGTTGATGAAGCTCCTTTTCAAACTGAGCTGCAAGCTCCTCTAGTCTTTATGACTCCCACTCAGGGATTGCTGAGTAGGATTGTTTCTAAACATTTTCACATCACAGAACATCTTCTGTGGGCTTTTACCTCATCTTGTGGAACACGTGAAATGCCATCCTGTGCTGCCCTATGGTGACACTGCAGGTGACAGGAACACAGGTACTGGCAGCTTTTGACAGTCCCCTGCTTCAGTTTTGAAGGGAACCAAGGCCAGAAGGGTTCATAAGGAGATTAACTGGTTCCTTTGCAGTCCCAGATTTCTTTGAAATTGTTTAGAAGAGATCAGAGTTTTTAAATGAACCCACTAAGATGTTTTGTTGGTTACAACATCTTTTTTAGAAAGGCCTGAGGGTATCATAATAGTGTGTTTACCTCTTCCTGGAGATGTGCTAGAAACACTTCAGCTTTCTAAGTCTAAAAAGTGATGCTTGTTTTTCCATTTGAATTGCCTTGATCTCTGCACTCCTAAACACAGATCCTGAATGTGTCATTAAAAACCACATAGTGGTGTCTGATCTGCAACCCTGCAAAAGTATCAGAAACACCATATTCCAGAAGCACTCCTCCCTTCTGTAAGCATGGCTATCTAGCATTTCTGCTAAATGCTGAACTTGGCATTTGATTACATTTAACACACATCTCAGCTGAATGGGCTCAGCTTAGCTTAACATCATAAAAGTGTAAAAGATTTCCTATGCCTTTGTCATATTTTTTTTTAATAAAACCCGGGCTTGTTCCAGCACTAGCATTTACAGCTCCATTGGAAATACTGTTGGTTTATGACTTTTGTGGACCTGCCTGTCCATACACCATTTCTCCTAGGTTTTGCTCTTACAGTGCTATACATTTTTGGTTGCTTGCTTGATTAGGTTTGTTTTTTTGGTTTAGTTTTTTGTGAGCACACAAAACACAGTGAAGTCCCTGGATTCTTAGAAATTGCTTGGATGCCTTTGAGAAACATTACTGAATAGCATCTCTAGCTGTGTTTACAGTCCATAAGAGAAAGCCTCTTTATCAGAATGTTCTCTCATATAAAGCATATGGGTGTATTAGGATGTTGTAAAATCCATAAATGAGAGGTATCTATAAACTTCCTCACTGAAATGTTCAGCAGCTTCGTGCTGTTACCTCTTGAAGCACTTAGGGCTGAAATTATACTGAGAATCCTACAAACACTGGAACAAAGGACTTTTTACCCAATGATGATTTTGGCTTCATGACAAAGGAAAACTCTGATCCTCATTTCCAAATTACCAAGACCCTATCAGATACAGAGACAACACTGACAAGAAAAATACAGTTTACAATAGGGCACCTCAGAGTGGATGAAATAAGCCTTTTTCCTTTCCCTGCACATTTACACAGATATGTATTACAATGAAAATATATTTAAGCAGCTTTTGTAATCATCTTTGTCCAAACACTCCATGAGACAGTCTGATGTTAAGGCCAGCAGGATTCTGCAGTAGGAATATCACATCAGCATTTACCTTCTCACTCCCATAGGGGCCTCACTTCTGTGGCATGTTTAAATCTAATTGTTTTCCTGAAAAAAAAAACCAAAAAACAACCAGAAAAACCCAGCATCTGTACCTGGAATTGTTGACATAAGGCAATAGCAGTTTCAAGATTCTCAAATTCAGTGGCAAACAATGAAATATCATAAAATGGGTGTTCTAGATGTTAAAAAACCACAAAAGGAAAACATAAAACATTAAGTTTGGAACAAAGCTATACTTTTCAGACTCTTTATGGCAATTTTAACACATAGTTACAGCTCTTTTCTAACCATTTACAGCTGATTTTGAGGTCAGGCTGCTTTTTCCTATCCCACATAACTTAGAGGGAAATTATTTTGAAGATCCAGTTATACCATATAATGCAGTAGCTACAATTAAATGAGAGGGAACATTATGAGTGCTCAACTACATTGGGGTGTTTAAAGGATTTGTGAGTAATTGGTTTAACTGAGAACAGCTGTAAAATTATGCTAACAAATCAGAGCAAAGATTTGCTTACCATAATCGAATTTGGAGTTTAAAGGTATTTTTCTTTCCCCAATGCATGTGCACATACATTTTATTTTGTTAGTTGGGGTTTTTTTTAATACTGTAACATCCTGAAAAGTAAAAAAGAATTCCATAAAATGTGATTTTAGAGAAAATTCCAATAAGTCTTAACCAGAAACTGCCTCAGATTAACTCCTTTGGGTATTACATATTTTCCAAGCATCCTTTGTTGCACTTATTAATAGAAATCAGGATACTGAGCTCTGTGAAGGAGAAAGTTTAGCTGAGATTTGGGATGCTCCTAGATTTTTCAAAGATGGTCTTGTGTGGGTTTTTTTCACATGGGTTTTAATTAAATAAAGTACAAATACTGTCAAAGACAACAAACGATGCTAAACTATACCACACTTCTTATCTGTTTTTTGACCCAAATACAGATTTTGTCCTATATTTTTTATGAGGTTTTTTAAGAGAAAAATATTTACCAAGGTCCATACCTCAGCACACATCAGATTATAAGGGAATACATAAATTGTGTGAAGACAGAGATAAAGCTGCCAATCCTTTACCAGTGTAGGGCTTTGCATCAAAATTTTGTGTATCACTTAAAACAAGCTGCCAAAAGGGAGGCCTGAGATGGAGGTAGAGCCTTTTGATCTTTTGTGGAGTAGTTTTCTACACAGAGCTAAGAGAAGTGGCACTGGAGACAGCTGTGACCTGCATGAGCACTGCTCCATGGGCACTCAGATATTTGCCCAAGTGGAGCAGCAGCCATCAGTGTCTGGGGAGAGGGGACAGTCCTTGGCTCAGCCTCTGAGCAGGGCCACAGCAAGGCACCTCAGGTGTCCTTTCCACACCCCCAGCTAGCGGCTGGTGCAATCAAGGAGAAGCAAAACCTGTAACCAGGAAGAGAAATGGGTATCTATCCCATCCCCAAGCACTGTAAGAAAGCACCCCCTCAGCCCAGAGTTATCAGGCAGAGTCAGCAAGTTTCCTTGCTTTGTATATGCTTCATCTAAAGCAAAAACTGCTTTTGAAGGAAAGGCTTTTCATTGCAGAATTTAGTGCAATTTCTCCCTCTTTTTGCGTTGCTGTGGTGAAAGAAGCACAAGAGAAAGCTCTCGATTTATGGCCAGTGTAAATCTATGAAGGGACCAATGAAGGGCTGCACAAAACTAATTTGTCTGGGAGCCCCAGAAGAGTTTGGTAAGCACTAAGAGATTAGCAGTTCTCACTTACCCTAGAGACAAGTGTGCCTTCATCACTGATAAATACTCAGAGACTATCAGCTGCAGACTGCTCGCTGTGTTTTCACACAACTGTTCAGATTATCTCCATAGGGAAGCTGAGAGGGACAGAAGCTTAAACTGTATGAATTCTGAGATTGCAGCATGCTGCAGGGACTGAGCAAACCACAGGTTCAAAAATTTAGTGAGGCTTCTCCCCAAAACAGAGTTATGAAGGGCAGTACAATTGCTGTACTCACACAATAATCTGCCTGAAGCTATTCAGAGGTATCCTTTACTACAAATCTACAGTCCACATTGTTTCATAGTTACATTCCTATGTTTATAGTGTGTCTATAAACTTATCAATGTATCAGTGTTTACCTGAAGATTGTAAGTATACATGCTGTGTGTACCTCCACCTCCAGAAGAGTATTACAAGTACACCAGAAGCACATTAGCTTGTCAGAAACATTACTTTATTAACCATTTCTGCACTGAGAATTACTTTAACATCCTGTTTGGATTCTTTTCCATAGTTCCAGCTCTTCCCATAACACCTGAGGCACCAAGGGCACAACTAGCCTTCTACTACCAAGAAATTAAGAGCAAAAAATTTTATTGCCTTTTTTATGTGAAACTGGTACTGAAATTCTAGCATAAGTCATTTCAGATATCTAAATCAAGACATACAGACAGAAAAATAAACCCCAGGAATTTAAATTAAGCTAAGCAAAAGGTGAAAGGGCAGGCATAGTGAGACAGTCTTATAATAGCTTTTCATGGTAATATTCTTCCTGCTATGTTTGATACACCATGCTAAGAAAAGTCTGGTAACACTAGAGGGGCATGTTAGTTTTCACCGAAAGCACATTCCTCCTCACCTCTGGCTTTTTCTTCCTCTTTGCATCTCACACCATTTGCTGGATGAATTTGGCTGGATGCACCTCTGACGACAGCAGTTTCTGTGAAACCCCAGCCTTAGCTCAAAAAGCAGAGCACATTACTACCAGACATTAGAAGACATACCTAACATCCATCCATCCATCCATCCATCCATCCATCCATCCATCCATCCATCCATACATCCATACATCCATCCATCTTTCGCTGCACCCACTGTTGTGCCCCTGTGTTCTCAAATCATCTCTGGGTCCTGCACCACCTGAGCCTACTCCCTAAACCAGCAGCCCCCACTCCTGCAGCAATGCCCACAGCAGCCCAAGAGATGAAACCTCTTGAATCTCAGGGAAGAGCCAGGGTTTGCTCTGGAGGAGCACACTGCAGCTGCTGGGAGACACCCAGAGTTAGCTCAGTCTCTGTTCTGTGCTTGAAAGCAGAAACAAGAAGCTCGTCATGCTGATCTACCACTTGTCTTCAGCTGTTCAGTGAGGTGGAATATTGTGGATAAAGACTGACATTAGTAAGACAAGTGACTGGAACTATAA